TATATATATATATATATATATATATATATATATATATATATATATATATATGTTGCTATCATTTGAGCATCCCTGTACGCTCTAAGTAGACGCAAAGTCAAGCGATGTTCACAGCCACATGCATAAACGGATGCCGATATCATCTTCTATGTATTCCTTATTTATTTTCCACAACTATTCTCATTCATTCAGTGTTCTATAAGCTGACCCATCTTCACACCCACATAAATCTCTCTCAATCATCGAACTGCAGATATGATTATCAGTTCCTAATCGTTTATAGTTAAGGTCCCAAATGCAACAGCACGTAGCATCAACCCTCAAACTATGTATATTAGTCATCTTCTTCTTGTTTTTAAAACAATCTTTTTGTTTGGATCCAACTTCTTATGAAGTCTGTGCCCCCAAACCGTGTGGTCATGATGGTAGGAGTATAAACTTTCCATTTTTCACTCCAGGCCCTAGAGCTTCACTTTGTGGGTACCCTGGTTTCGAGGTACACTGCTACGACAATGGCTCCTTAGTTCTTCCGATTTCAGGAAATGACTACTTAGTTAAAGATATTCACTATAGCAACAGCTCTATGCGGTTGGTAACTGCCCAAAACGTTACATGCCCCTCAGGACTCACAAACATCACACTTGATCCTTACCGCTTTCGCCTTTTCAATGACTCGGTTACTCGTGAGCTTGTTTTTCTTATGAATTGCTCCAAGGAATTACCGGAGAATCTGAGCAGGTACAGGATTGGGTCCTGCAACCCGAACATTTTGTTGGTTATGCTTAGCGATGACAGGAATTTGGAGATGGGAAAGGAAGTTTGTGGTCATCTAGTGGTGGCCCCGGTGCAAGTGCACTACGACTACGCTGGAATTGGTAGACAACAGATGGAGGTGGTGGACGGTGGAAATTATGCACAAGTGATGATGAAGGGGTTTATGATGCAGTGGGTTGCGCCGTATTGTACCGAATGCAAGCAGAGCGGTGGGAGGTGTGGTTCGAATGGTTACAACTTGCAGTGTTTTTGCCCCTGGGGCGACCAGATGCACGCAATAAGTTGCCCAACTCGTAAGCCCTCTTCCTTTACATATCATATTTAATATTTACAAACATGATAGTTCGTATAAAAGAGTCATTTGAAATGTTAGAGGACTTCTTTTCGATAGATAAAAGAGTCTTAAACATGTGAAACACACATGATAACTGATTTGTATGTATAATTAATTGAGTTTGTAAATGATTAATTATGTACATGTGTGTGTATATATAATTCTAATCACATAATTCACAACACAAATTCATAAACGTTACAAAATAAAGTTATAAAATTACGCTTTTAAGTTCTATTTTATATATTTAATCAAAAACCTATAAAACATATGTCTATATATAATTCTATATATGACATACAAATTTGTCGCCTTATGTCACGCCTTGAAAAATGTCGCGTCCTCACCGTGGCATGTAAGGCTTGAGGCTTGACATCGTCGCCACGCCACATCTCACACCTTTTTTTGAACTTTGGAGACGACTATGGTCGCAATCCAACCGACCAACAATAGAGGTCTATGCAAGCGTGGTTGTGACCCAAGGTCGCATGCCAAGTCGTGTAGGCCTTATTTTTACACGAGAACTCCAATTTTAATGCCCAAATATGCACAGATTCTTACAACCATAATACAATATATAGCATGCAAAGTACTCATGGACTTCTCTCAACATCAACTCGTAGTGTATACAATCCAAATATGTTAAGATGATTTGGTTGCCTTTTGTTTATGCAGGAGAATACGGTACTGACCCAGGAATGCTTCTTGTCCTAGGTAATTTATAATACACAAAACCTTTGTCTACTCAAGTTTTGAATGATAAATAATTTTATATTCGTTGTTTGATGCAGTTGGTATAGGACTTATATCACTTGTCATAACACTTATAAGGAAACTCAAACGGAGAAGAAAGACCAATGTTAACGTAGAAAATTTTCTAAAGAATCATGAATTCCTAGATCCAAAAAGGTACACTTATTCGCAGATAAAGAAGATGACAAACTCATTTGAAATCAATCTAGGACAAGGTGGTTTTGGTTGTGTTTATAAAGGAAAGCTAAGCAATGGAAACCTAGTGGCAGTGAAGGTTTTAAATGAATTAAAGGGTAACGGTGAAGATTTCGTTAATGAAGTTGCAAGTGTTGGTAAGACTTGTCATGTAAATATCGTAAGTCTTGTGGGATTTTGCTCCGAGGGCCATCAAAGAGCTTTGATATACGAATTCATGCCAAATGGATCCCTCGAAAGGTTTATATATGGCCAAACTTCTTCAAATAATAACCAACTTGGGTGGGAAAAGTTGTTCCAGATTGCTATCGGGATTGCACGAGGCTTAGAGTACTTGCATAGTGGTTGTAGCACA